TCTTTTACAGCAGGCACGCTCGCATATTGTAGCTGTGTGCTGTACATGCAACCGGTGGAATACTTGTTACACATTTCTGTCATTTTTTAAAGCTCTTTTGCGTAGTTACACACTGCCTCGGTACTGCATTGTAACTCCGACTGCTCTCTTTGCAACTTAGGTGTAAATGGGTTTAAAGTCATCTGCAGGCTGCAAAGGCACATGTGCATGCATTTGTGATTATAAGAGGCAAACTGCAAGGCAAGAAGCTAACAACACGATTGCTTCAGATGATGTAGAGGTAGAATTTCATGGTCGTTTTAAAAGAGACAAAACATTAAAAACATCCATCCATTATCTATACACCGCTTAATCCTCACTGGGGTCACGGGGGAGCTGGAGTCTATCCCAGCTGACTTAGGGTGAAGGCAGGGGACACCTACGGACAATTTAGAATCACCAATGAACCTCAACGTGTTTTTGGACTTGTGGGAGGAAGCCGGAGAACCCGGAGAGAACCCACACTGCACGGGGAGAACATGCAAACTCCACACATAAAGATCCTGGTGACCCCCACCGGGACGCAAACCGGCGACCTTCTTGCTGTGAGGCAACAGTGCTAACCAACTGCGCCACCTTGCAGCCCCCATTAAAACATTAACTGCTTCAAATGATTGTGTTTTAAACACAGTGTGTACTATGTCCATGGTGCCTGCTGAATTTATGATGACCCACAAGCAAATTTGGAAACTCTTTGCGGGATAACAAATGAAGACAAATGCAGATTTGAATAAAACATGCGGGTAAAATGAAACTGACAGACTACGCTTCGAGGGAAAATCGCTTCTTAAGGAATAGCTTAAAGAGTTTATTTGTGCAGTTCTTTACAGAAGTGTGCACCACTACAGCAGCTCCATGCCCGACTGCTTCAGAATCATTTCCTCCTGAAACACAACAGACATGTTGGTATTGATTTGATAATTTCCCCTCAGCATCTGCCTCCAGCTCTGCCCAGCTACAACACTTTCCAAAGAAGCAATACAGTCATATTTTTTCACGGTGATTACATAACCGAGACAGTAAATTGTTCCTCGCTGCCACTTTGTGAGTTACACTCTTTCCTTTACAAGCACAGGGAGGCTTGGAAGTGATTTTGTACAACGGCTCGTCTAACCATTTTCGAAATTTTAATCTTCACATAGATCACAGTGGTTGCATTCACAGTGAGAGATGGTCTCTGATATGGATAGTAATATAAGTGAATATGTTGCCTGGTCTGTTTATGCTTTGTTTTATGGGCCATTTGTCTTTGGTTCTAGGACATGGGGCTTGCTGTTGCCGCAGCATCATTTAGCAGTACCACTTTTCAAAATTAACAGGCCCCTTTGCACAATATTGCAGAACCTGAGCAGAACACCGAGTCCTCCAGACAAGCAATCATATAATACGGTTATGAAAAACATTGTTTGTGAGTAAGGTTAATGAAAATGTCTCTGTGAAACTAATATTTTAAGATGCGATTTATTTATGCAATCATTTAACGTGACACAAATTAATTTGGACTTGAGTTTGTCTTCTAGCTTCGGTTAATGAAAAAACATTATGTTTGACTGACACTAGAATTTTCTCTTAGCTCGTGCAGAAACTGCCGGCTGGATTTACGAACCATTACGATCATTAATTGCAGCCGTGAGCACACAGAGCTGTGTTCGTGATGACTTCTGACAGCGCATGATAAATAATTTTGTTTTAATGGTCCTAGAAAAGGCCCATCAAGACAACTGCTGAGCACATTCAAAAACATCCAACTTCTCAATGCAGCATTTTAAGAAGCTCTCATTTGGCATTGTGCTTCTGTTACATGTCGGACTTCCAGTTGACTGATAAAAGGTTTTAATTGATGCTGCAGATCCACAGCTATTCCAACCAGCCTTCATCCGTGCTTGTGCCTGCATTACCCACAATGCAACATGTCTGCCATTAGGTAAGCTGTGCTGCCTTTTAATGGAACTCATGAGCTCGCCTTAACAGTGTTGTCACAACATTGGCTCTAAGTTGTGGAAACTCCTAATGTGCGTCTAGAGGCCACGAGGGAAGGTAATGATTTAGTGAGCTAACGAATGAGGACGCTAATGTAGCAAATTGAAATGCATAATGAAAAGAACAGTATGGTGGCCCAGAAGTGTCACAACAAAACAAAAGTACGGTGGCCCAGACGTGTCACAACAAAACAAAAGCCACAACACAACACAATTAGCCGCAACACAATAAAATTAACCACAACACAACCAAATTAACCACAACACTACAAAATTAGCCGCAACACAACAAAACAAAAGACACAACACGACACAACGGCTGCAATGGAAGTTGTTTTTTTTTACCCAGAAGTTATACTGTGAAGTGCGCAACCACACAAAGTGGGCAGAAGCCGGAGATTGTTGGACACTATTTGCCATCAGTATTTGACTTACTTTCGAGTTCCAACAATCTCCGGCTTCTGCCCACTTCGTGTGGTGTTGCGCACTTCACGGTATAACTTCTGGGTTAAAAAAAAACAATTTCCGTTGCAGCCGTTGTGTTGTGTTGCGGCTAAGTGTGCTCTGTTGTGGTTAATTTTGTAGCGTTGTGGCTTATTGTGTTGTGTTGTGGCTTTTGTTTTGTTGTGACACTTCTGGGCCACCGTAGAACAGGCCCTGGAAAATATTAGCCTTTTCCTCTGACGTTCTAAAATAAGGAAGAGAGAATGATAAAACTACAGGATATTAGAGTTGCAATATTACTTCTGTGCCATTTCTGAAAACGTCAGCGAACGCATCACTTGTAACTTGTAAACGAGGAGCGTTCACATATTTTGAATTCTGGCCCACCCTTTGTTATGCGGTGTTCAGGTTTTGTTCAATGAAAGCTTGAGGCTACGCACAAAAGAAACAAAGTGCACCATAAAAAATAACTGACGACATGGCAGCAACAGATCTTCTTTGTGAAAATAGTTTTGAGCCGTTTTGTTGTACATGTGAAGGTCCGATGTGCGTAAAGATGCTTTTTGTTAGCGGTGTAACGTGTCACGATGGACCTTTGTTCCCGGCACCACTGAATTGTTGGATTTGTTCAAATTCTCTGTTTGAATTTTGTAAAGTCTTCATGCGAAGTGCCTTGAGATGACACATGTTGTGAATCGGTGCTGTATAAACACAATCGGATTAAATTGAATTGAATTTCCACTCACAAGGCCACGAGAAGCACAAGGAGGGAATTCATAGCGACTCTTCTTACTACTGAGGTCTTCTGAGTTCACATCCTTCTAAATCCTTTCATTCTTCAGTACAATTCTTTTCAGACTAAATGCGTAAACAAAATTGAGACTCTCCCCCTTCTGAAGTAGAGAAAGATTGCTGATACCTCGCTAGTTAGCATATTTATCTGGTTAGAAGGGGCAGATTTACATCCGTCCTGCTCCCACTGCCTCCTTTCACCCCATATCTTCCTACCATCCAATGCACGAGCACAAACTTGCACAGGTAATATTGGAATAGTGTCGTGTGCGTCAGCCCGAGACATTTTCTTTTGTTTCCCATTTATAGAGCTGTGTAGGATCCATAGACTGTATAAAAGATGGACGTAGCTACCGTGACGTCACCCGTTGGTTTCTGCACTGAGAAAATGAAGCCAGGGTTTTGCTACTTCCTGGTTGAC